CTCAAAGAAAAAAAGCTGAATAAAATGTAAAATAAACCTTAAATAACTGGTGATCCAATTTATTCCATCCGATACCGATATCTGGGTTGTGCGTATCGGCTGCTATCCGATACAGATCCGATTCAACTGATTGAATAAACCATATATCTTGCCATCTGAGTTAAGGCTTCAGCCTTGATATAAACTGTTAAAAACAGGTAACAAATTTACAAGGATATAAATGTACTTTTTATTATTACTGACAAATAAGCAGCCAATGCATTGGATTGGATATCTGATATCAAATTTCTGATATGCGATCCAGCTAATCGGTTATTGTTGGAGCCGATATCTGATCCAGGTATTGGATCGGTGCATCTCTAAAAATAACATGGTGCTGTATGCAGGGTTCCCGGGATTCTTAAAATGCATTAGATTATTCAAAACAAAACTAAGGTCTTAATTGGTATAAAAATGTCTTCAATCAGTTTTTTATAGGTTTTAAAATTTTACCACGTCATAAATAGGATTTTATGTTTGTAATCCATACCAAACATTAAAATAATTGACTTTTTTATTCCGATGTTAAATCATGAAGCAGAAGAAAACTTTTTCGTGCTTTTTGTATTTGTTTAACAGTTAAAAAGGGAGAGCATTAATTGTAGAAGTCCATGGCTATGGTTACTTTGGAGGAGGTGCAGCAGTCTGCTGGCAGGAACGTCAGTCATTGACTCTCTGGCCTTATAGGGGACTGGCTGAAGGGAATAATTTTTTAAAAGAAGCACTATTTGCAGTTTGCCTTTGGTCATCTAGGAGGCAAAACAAACCTCTGGAGAAAAAACATTTTTTCCCGACCTTTCAACCAAATGCTGTGTCACAGAAATGACCTTGGAAATGCTTTCTCCACACTGAAACATTTCTTTACAGCTGTCTTACTGACGCATGCTTTAGATCAGGGAACTCCAGATCCAGTTCTGTAGAGCTGCTATCCCGCAAATTTAAAAAGCAGCGCTTTCTGAATTACTTTTTTAGGGCTAAAACAATAATCGGATTAATTATGATTAATCGATTATTGAAATGATCATCAACTAATTTAATGATCGATTAATCGTTAACTTTAGTATAGAGACTCTAAAACATGCCTTTAGCTGACAGGCCGACTGACTAGAGCTATAAATATACCAACATTCTAAAATAATATATATCTTGCATTTAAGATAAAAAAAAGAAAAGGTTTTGTCTGTCACTTTGCTCTCTATCCAGAACTCCTCAAGTGAAAATATTTTAGCTTCACCTAATTTAATTCTGTATTCTTCACAGTGTTTATATTTTACATAAAATCTTGTATAATATTTACATTTCCAAGAAAGGCTCAGGTGCAATATTTGTTTTCGATTTCATGTAGCACGTATCAGTAATGCGGTCAGTTGGATGGTCTCTAACTGACCTTGATGCACGCCGTGTTTATAGATTCCTTGTTATATTTTACTGGAGTCATTTAACCAGCTTGGCTGAGAGACGGTATGAGGTGACCAAAATGTGCTTCATTTTGTCCTGTATTAGCTTTAGACTCTGTGGTCCTTTAAAACCATGAAGCTCAATACCTTTTATTAGTATCAGGGGAGATGTATCAACTCGATGTAGCTCATCATTTTTAATTGAAAAGAAAACGATTTGCAGCCTTTATGATTTTCTTTTTTTTTTTACATAGGGATTAAAAAGAGCAGCAGTCTGTTCTATTCCACCCTGAATAAAATCTATTTTCACTTTGATGCTGATAGACAGATTTTGCCTCATTAGGTATCAAGGAGTTAGTTGTTCATAAAGCAACTTTATAGCAGCACATAGCTTCCCTTCCTGCTTCTCACCAAAGTTCTTGCTCCTCGGGTTGTTTCTTTGTCTCTTTCTTGATTGTGATGTTTTCTGTTGTCTTCCTTCAGGAGGGAACACCCTCTACCTGTGGCAGTTTCTGATGGAGCTGCTGCAGGACAGACAGGTCTGTCCTCGTTACATCAAATGGACCGATCCGCAGGCGGGCATCTTCAAGCTGGTCAACTCCAAAGCAGTGGCCAGGCTGTGGGGCAAACACAAGAATAAACCAGACATGAATTATGAGACCATGGGAAGAGCGCTCAGGTATGGCTGCTTTAGAAAGGTTTCCTCTGAGCTGTAGACCTCGGTTCTGTTTTTGGTGCATCTGAAGAGCCTGAGTGTTTGCAATAAGCATTTACTCTGAAATCCCTACGCTCTGTATGTTTCTTTATGCTAGATGTTGTGTTTTTTTTTTGAGCTGATAATGTGATTTTACAGGGTCTTGTAAACATGTTTATCATTCTGAATCTTTGACTCAAAATCTACCCATAAAATGAAAAACCATGAAAAATTTGTACATAAATGTGCAGCTGCATATCTTGTTGGGTATTCATCAACAGCGTAGAGACTAAAAGTTACGCCAATCTTTCTTCAAAGCTGAAGTTAAGTTTGACTTTGTCTGAATTGTTAATAAACAGAACTTTTATAATTCTACTACTTCAGTTGAATTTTTAATTGAACCTTCAATTGAATCAGGATTTTGATTGGGTCAGTCTTCCACATAAATATGCTTGGATCTAAATTATTTCAGTGCAACCCGATTATCATTATTTAATCTTATTATATTAGTTTTGACAGCATCATGATGCTACCAACTCCATGTTTCACAGTGGGGAGGCAGCATATAGGCTACAGTGGAAAGTTGAGGGCTATACACTTTTTTTCTATGGACAGTGGCCATTCAGATCCCGTTGATTTTTCATTATGTTTTAATGAAGGACAAAGAGAAGCCCTGAAAAATAAAAACAGCCATTTTAAATGTGACATTCAAATCATACAATTAAAAATCCAATATGAAAGGTGTTTTCTAATGGGGCATTTTAAATTTAATTAAAGAGGAAGTTTACATTGTATTTATTAATCCCTTCATTAAATACTGCAATTTTAAACATTTATTTTGAAAATCTTTTTCTTAATGGAGATTTCCCTTTACTTTTTCACTTTGCAGTTTCAAATCCTTTGTGCATTTTTTTTTTTTTTTTACTTTACCCCCACAATTTACAGTTTCTGCGAAAAAGTAAATGTAGTTTTAAAATAAACTACAATTTCATTTAAATCACAAAACCACCTGCCTTTAAAGTGTAACCATTTTAAAAGCAATTGCCTTTTTTACTCTTTTACAGAATTCAATATTTCTATTGGTACTTTTTTTCCCTTTTTTTTATTTACCTCTAAAAATAAGTAATCTAGTAAGTTAATTACTACTGGGTGCCTCGAAATTAAACTCTGTCACTCCGAGGGGACACCTCTCCACACTTTGGACACCAATGGCTTTGTTAAACCCTATTCCAGGGATGTACAGTTTTCAGAACAGGCTCTGGAAGGTGCGGAGCGATAATGCTAGGGTAATAAACTGTTTACTACAAAAAGAAGGACAAGCAAAACAAACGTGTGGCTCAATCTGAATACATTACATTCATAAAAACTCTTTAGCCCTTTTTGAGTGCCGTAGCTGTCTAAATAGAGTTGACGGTAACTAACGAGGTA